AACACTGGCCTAGATGTTTGTAGCTAGACACTGGCCTAGATGTTTGTAGCTAGACACTGGCTGAGATGTTTGTAGCTAAACACTAGCTGAGATGTTTGTAGCTAAACACTAGCTGAGATGTTTGTAGCTAAACACTAGCTGAGATGTTTGTAGCTAAACACTAGCTGAGATGTTTGTAGCTAAACGCTAGCTGAGATGTTTGTAGCTAAACACTAGCTGGGATGTTTGTAGCTAAACACTAGCTGAGATGTTTGTAGCTAAACACTAGCTGAGATGTTTGTAGCTAAACACTAGCTGAGATGTTTGTAGCTAAACACTGGCCTAGATGTTTGTAGCTAAACACTGGCCTAGATGTTTGTAGCTAGACACTAGCTGAGATGTTTGTAGCTAAACACTGGCCTAGATGTTTGTAGCTAAACACTGGCTTAGATGTTTGTAGCTAGACACTGGCTGAGATGTTTGTAGCTAAACACTAGCTGAGATGTTTGTAGCTAGACACTAGCTGAGATGTTTGTAGCTAAACACTAGCTGAGATGTTTGTAGCTAGACACTAGCTGAGATGTTTGTAGCTAAACACTGGCCTAGATGTTTGTAGCTAGACACTAGCTGAGATGTTTGTAGCTAAACACTAGCTGAGATGTTTGTAGCTAGACACTAGCTGAGATGTTTGTAGCTAAACACTAGCTGAGATGTTTGTAGCTAAACACTGGCCTAGATGTTTGTAGCTAAACACTAGCTGAGATGTTTGTAGCTAGACACTGGCCTAGATGTTTGTAGCTAAACACTGGCCTAGATGTTTGTAGCTAAACACTGGCTTAGATGTTTGTAGCTAGACACTAGATGAGATGTTTGTTGCTAGACACGAGCTGAGATATGTGTAGCTAAATACTAGCTGAAATGTTTGTAGCTAATTACTGGCCTTGATGTTTGTAGCTAGAAACTAGCTGAGATGTTTGTAGCTAAACGCTAGCTGAGATTTTGTAGGTAAACACTGGCCTAGATGTTTGTAGCTAAACACTGGCCTAGATGTTTGTAGCTAAACACTAGCTGAGATGTTTGTAGATAGACACTAGCTGAGATGTTTGTAGCTAAACACTAGCTGAGATGTTTGTAGCTAGACACTAGCTGAGATGTTTGTAGCTAAACACTAGCTGAGATGTTTGTAGCTAGACACTAGCTGAGATGTTTGTAGCTAAACACTGGCCTAGATGTTTGTAGCTAGACACTAGCTGAGATGTTTGTAGCTAAACACTAGCTGAGATGTTTGTAGCTAGACACTAGCTGAGATGTTTGTAGCTAAACACTAGCTGAGATGTTTGTAGCTAAACACTGGCCTAGATGTTTGTAGCTAAACACTAGCTGAGATGTTTGTAGCTAAACACTAGCTGAGATGTTTGTAGCTAGACACTGGCCTAGATGTTTGTAGCTAAACACTGGCCTAGATGTTTGTAGCTAAACACTGGCTTAGATGTTTGTAGCTAGACACTAGATGAGATGTTTGTTGCTAGACACGAGCTGAGATATGTGTAGCTAAATACTAGCTGAAATGTTTGTAGCTAATTACTGGCCTTGATGTTTGTAGCTAGAAACTAGCTGAGATGTTTGTAGCTAGACACTGGCTGAGATGTTTGTAGCTAAACGCTAGCTGAGATTTTGTAGGTAAACACTGGCCTAGATGTTTGTAGCTAAACACTGGCCTAGATGTTTGTAGCTAAACACTAGCTGAGATGTTTGTAGCTAAACACTGGCCTAGATGTTTGTAGCTAAACACTAGTTGAGATATTTGTAGCTACGCTCTATCTGAGATATTTGTAGCTAAACATTAGCTGAGATGTTTGTAGCTAAACGCTAGCTGAAATTTTTGTAGCTAAACACTAGCTGAGATGTTTGTAGCTAAACACTGGCCTTGACGTTTGTAGCTAGACGAACATACAATTAAAGTCTACAGTTGAACAAAGTACTGATTGCCACAGTTCAACAAATTTAGAAAATGTGTTTTTACTTTCTCGTATATATGAAGTATAGAGAAAGTATTGTAATCGTGCAAAAAAAAAAACATCGAGATTTTTACAAATCTCGACGTTTTACACCTCACTGATACGGAAAAACATTAATTTTGCAATCTTGTCCGAATGTCTGTGTGTCTGTCTCTCTGTCTGTGTGTCTGTCCGTGTGTAAAAACGATTACTTGAGTACCGTTACAGCTAAGTTGATGAAATTTCATATATAAGTATTTTATCAAAATCGTAGATCCGTATCAACTTTTAAGCGATTTCCGATAACCGGAAGTGGTACTTTTCCTACTTTGAATTTTTCAAAAGGCTATAACTTGAGTACTATTTCAGATAGATAAATGAAATTTCACATGTAAAAGATCTAATTCTCTAACTTCTGTTAAATTTTGAGTAATTTCCGTTGACCGGAAGTAGTAATTTACGCTACTTCCGATTTCTCAAAAAAACTAATGTAAATTTCTAAAGTACTAATAATATTGCGCACTATTATGCACTTTTTTATTTGGAGTTCACTTGGTGTGCAATTCTTTTGTCTACGAGATTTTATTCTATTTTAAACCTTTAGGGATTTAAAATGGATTAAAAATCATGTCTATAGCCCGAGTTCCCATCCCCTGTTATTTATATAAGAATATTCGAGAAAGTTTAGGGGAGATCACTACCGGTTTATTTATCTAGCAATGTACTTCATTGTTTATTGACAAATTTTGTAGATTGTTGTTTAAAGTATGTTCCTAAGACTGGAATCAAACTCGACAACTTCCTCATCTTTTGTCGACAGCTTCAGCGCGTTTTCCTATTCCTGAACCTGGTTTCCCAAACTTATATTTGTCAAATTGTCCGTTCACACTTTCTAAAACAAAAAAAAAAACCAACTCTGTATCAAATACACATAACATGAAATTTACAAAGCCAAACACTGAAAAAGTGTTTAATGAAAACTGCTCTAATTTACTAATTGATACACTTCAAAAGAAAATGTTTAATGAAAACTCCACAAAGCTTTTACTATGACAAAGGCACACTTGTAATACCAACAAATGTGTTAATTATAAAGTTTAGTGTACAATAGAAAAAAAATTTTACAGTGTGGGGTGTAAAACATGAGTGGGGTATAAAACATGAGTGGGGCATAAAACTTGAGTGGGGCATAGAACACGAGTGGGGTGTAAAACGTGAGTGGGGTATAAAACATGAGTGGGGTGTAAAACGTGAGTGGGGTATAAAATATGAGTGGGGTATAAAACATGAGTGGGGTATAAAACATGAGTGGGGTATAAAACATGAGTGGGGTATAAAACATGAGTGGGGTACCAAGTACAACAACATTCACCCCCATTCATCCCCCTTCACTCGTTCACTACAGTGTACCATGTTACTTTATTGGCTGGAATGTTAGAAACGACTAGATGGCATGAGACTGTTGACACGATACAAATGGCACGACACTGTTGACACGATACAAATGACATGACATTGTTGACATAACACATATGACATGACACTGTTGACGCGAAACAAATGATTTGACACTGTTGACACGATGCAAATGACATGACATTGTGGACATAACACATATGACAATGAAACTGAGTGCCTTTTGTCCACGTATGTGTTTGGATGAAATTATTCCTAACTGTTATTTAATTAGCCTCACACGTGCCGGGTCTAGGAATTACTGCTGATCAATAAACACAGGTAATTGCACCCTAACATCTTTCAAGATCAATCACTCCTGGGTTAATCACGTCCTGAAAAAAAAAAACCAATTACCTTCATGGTATTACCCCATTATTTATAATATCGATTCAGTGAGAAACTCGACATTCAATACAACGCCTATAAATTCTAAACAATGAATAAAACAAGCTTATACCACGAGAAACATAACGTATCTCCAATCCGATCCCTAGCATAACTTAAATCATATATCTTTCCCTGGTCTAACGATAACGATATCCACATCTCTGGCCTAACCCTAACCATATACCCATTTCTGGCCTAATGACGCGTGTGGATTGAACTGCCTACTAATTCGGTCCAAATTTTAATTAATTCATAAAAAATTAATTAGGCGACCAATTAAGTCAAATTGAATGTCACGATGCATTGTCTTCATGTCTGGACCCACGTACCAATTACCAACCGTATCTGTTAGTTAGAAGTGCCTGCAATTTCACACGATCGTCTCGATCTAGACAGACAGACAGACAGACTGACGACAGACTGACGAGGAAGCAAGTTAAATAAAAGCTTGTAAAAACCACTCATTTTATTGTCATAAGCGATCGCTGGTCCGGACTATGTTATTTTTAGGGAGCGTCGGCATTATGTAAACAATATCTGGGTAGGAGGTAATGACAGGTGGTATTTATACGTAAGTGTGTGCCAGTGTTAGAAGTTTTGAAATAAAATTGAAGCTTGCGATGCAAAAATTAGGCCTAAAACTTTAGTTTTTATAGTGAAAACGAACAATAAGTTGTAAATTTGGGGGCCTACTACAAATCGGGGGCCCCTTGCTGCAGCCCTTTCAACCCCCCCCCCCGTTAATCTGGGGAGAGGTGTGGTGTGCAGAGGAGTAATTGAGGTGGGGGGGGGGTAATTCTTCTGGTTGCATTATTTTGACAGCTAATGTCCTTCTCATCTGTACGCATTTGGTAAATGTTTGTTCTCAATAGCTATCACATGACCCAAATGTGTTAGTAAAAATATTATACAGCAATGTACTAGAGCACTGGCTGAGATGTTTTTACTTTCTCGTTAACAAAGTATCGAGGAAGTATTGTGATCGCAAAAAATCAAAATCGAGATTTTCCCAAATCTCGACGTTTTACTATTCCCTGCATCGCAAAAACATAATTTTGCAACTTTGTCCGTACGTCTGTCTGTGTGTGTGCATGTGTGTTAATGTTACGATTTTTTATGTTAACGTTAGCTGAAGTACACATACAGAACACACAATCTGGCGCCATTTTAACACTAGTGAACCCCTCAGGCCAACAATCGGGACACACCTCTGGCAAGTGTACACGGCTATTTGTTCAAACTCTTATTAATAAATCCATATAAAGAGTAAACTTAACTGACTGCAATCATTCTATTCGAGGGTCATCTAGTCAGCGCTTCCGCACTCTACGTAACTGTGTAAGTTAATTTAACTTCATTGTAAATACAATTAATGAACTGAAAATAAATGCATTAACACGTTTTAATAACAAGCTTTTATGTAATAATTTTTTTTTTTTTTTTTTTTTTTTTGTACTAAAAACAATTTATTTTTTTGCTAGTCAATAATTTTTTTTCTTCACATTATTAATACATAGTTATACATTCTTCTTACTTGTTAAATTAATGAACATGATATTTATTTTGTCTTTGTTAAAAGACAAAAAAGCTTTTATGTAATAATGCAACACAAAGGAGAAAATAAATGTTTTTTTTAAAAATATATTATAACTTGTCGTGGATACTTCCATTGATTTAAGTGTTAAATTATTATCGTACTCATAGTCTAAATTTATGAGTTAAAAATTACTATTGAAAGTCTTTAAAAAAATATTTCATTTTATATACTTAGAATAATAATTTTCAATTATGAACATTACATAAAATTTAAAAAAAAAGTATCAACGTTTATAAAATTTCTAAAATTGTGTCTGAAATGTATTGACTGCAGGTTACTTCCCTTTAAAAAAATCATTAAATCGGGGGAAGAAAGAATTTACTTTTTATTACTTTGTTTTGGCGTTAAGAAAAAAAATAATTACATAATTAGCGGGGATTGATTAAGTTCAATGTCGTTGGTATTTTTAATACTGCCTTGTATTTATTCTATACACTGAACATACTGTTCAATAATTATTTTTTAAAATCAATAACATTTAATAAGCCAGGTCCTACAAATCCTTTATGTTTATTTCTTTCCATTTACGGATAAGCTTGGAGTAATATCATTTTGTTCACTAAATTGAAACAGGCGCGTCCGCCGGCGCCCCTGCACGGTTCGATTTGGCAACCTGGGCTATCATGTGAGCGCTATGCTGCATAATTTTGTTTTAAACAGTGCGATAGACTATGGATAAGAAAGGTTACTATAGTCTTTAAGTGAATCCAATCCGGGCGTCCTCCGGCATCCCGATAGGGTGCTATTTGGCATCCCGGGCCTTCCCGTGTACGCTATGGTACCTACGTTCGCTTGAGTTCAAAAGACTATGAATAAGTTATGTACTATAGTCGTTTACTAAGATGAATCAGGCGGTTACGTCATGGTGCGTCCTCTGGCGCCTAGACAGGGTGCTATTTGGGGCCCCGGGAGTCCCGTGTTCGGTTTGGCGCCTACGTTCGTTAAAGTGAGTGTAAAAGACTATGAATAAGTTGGGGTACTATAGTCGTTTATTAAGCTGAAACAGGCGATTCCGCCCCGGGCTAGACTGTGAGCACTTTGCGTTTATGTTCGCGTTAGTGTTCTCTTTGTGTTTAGGTTGGGTTTGCGTTAGTGGTTGCGTTTTGATTTGGTTCGTTTTTGTTCTTTCTTTTTTCGTTTTCGTTTGTGTTTTATTCTTTGGGTTTGTGTTTGTATTTGTGTTTGTGGTTGGTTTTGAGTTTGGATTTGGTTTGTTTTCGTTTGGTTTTTCGTTTGTGTTTTTTTCTTTGGGTTTGTGTTTGTGTTTGTGGTTGGTTTTGCGTTTGGATTTGGTTTGTTTTCGTTTGCTTTTTCGTTTTTTTTTCTTTGTGTTCGTATTGGTGTTTGTGGTTGTGGTTGGGTTTGGGTTTGTTGTTAGGTTTTTGTTTTCGTTTGTATTTGTAAATGTGTTAGCGTTATGTTTGCGTTTTGTTGTTTTGGAGGGTAAGAATCTGATCAACAAATATGTTTTTCCCAAACTACGCATTAGTCACCTCTGTCTTACCCAAGCTACACATCAGTCACCACTGTCTTACTCAAGCTACGCATTAGTCACCACTGTCTTACTCAAGCTACGCTTTAATCGTCACTGTCTTAGTCAAGCTACGCATTAGTCACTGCTGTCTTACTCAAGCTACGCATTAGTCACTACTGTTTTACTCAAGCTACGCATTATTCACTACTGTTTTACTCAAGCTACGCATTAGTCACTGCTGTTTTACTCAAGCTACGCATTATTCACTACTGTTTTACTCAAGCTACGCATTATTCACCACTGTTTTACTCAAGCTACGCATTATTCACTACTGTTTTACTCAAGCTACGTTTTAGTCACTGCTGTCTTACTCAAGCTACGCATTAGTCACTACTATTTTACTCAAGCTACGCTTTATTCACCACTGTCGTAACAAACAATTGAACTCTACAGTTCCACAAACAATTAAACTCTACATCTCAAGTGCCCATTAGGTACTATATATTTAGTGTGTCTATTTTTCAGTTGAAATGGACCTGTTGAAATACCTGTTGCTAGCTCTTTTCCTGTTGATGGGATCAAATGAGATCAGTAGGTTTTATACCCCCTCTTTTTTATACCCCACTCATGTTTTATACCCCACTCATATTTTATACCCAACTCATGTTTTATACCCCACTCATATTTTATACCCCACTCATGTTTTATACCCCACTAATGTTTTATACCCACTCATGTTTTATACCCCACTGATGTTTTATACCCCACTGATGTTTTATACCCCACTCATGTTTTATACCCCACTCATGTTTTATACCCCACTCATGTTTTATACCCCACTCATGTTTTATACCCCACTCACGTTTTACACCCCACTCATGTTTTATACCCCACTCATGTTTTATACCCCACTCATGTTTTATACCCCACTCATGTTTTATACCCCACTCATGTTTTATACCCCACTCATGTTTTATACCCCACTCATGTTTTATACCCCACTCATGTTTTACACCTCACACTGTAAGTTTTTTTTTTCTATTGTACACTAAACTTAATAATTAACACATTTTTTTGGTATTACGTGTGTGCCTTTGTCATAGTAAAAATTGTGTGGAGTTTTCATTAAACATTTTCTTTTGAAGTGTATCAATTAGTAAATTTAGAGCAGTTTTCATTAAACACTTTTTCAGTGTTTGACTTTGTAAATTTCATGTTATATGTATTTGATACAGAGTTGTTTTATTTTGTTTTAGAAAGTGCGAACGGACAATTTGACAAATATAAGTATGGGAAACCAGGTTCAGGAATCGGAAAACGCGCTGAAGCTGTCGACAAAAGATGAGGAAGTTGTCGAGTTTGATTCCAGTCTTAGGAACAGACTCTAAACAACAATCTACAAATTATGTCAATAAACAATGAAGTACATTGCTAGATAAATAAACCGGGAGTGATCTCCCCTAAACTTTCTCGAATATTCTTATATAAAATAACAGGGGATGGGAACTCGGGCTATAGACATGATTTTTAATCCATTTTAAATACCTAAAGGTTTAAAATAGAATAAAATCTCTTAGACAAAAGAATTGCACACCAAGTGAACGCCAAATAAAAAAGTGCATAATAGTGCGCAATATTATTAGTACTTTAAAAATTTACATTAGTTTTTTGAGAAATCGGAAGTAGCGTAAATTACTACTTCCGGTCAACGGAAATGACTCAAAATTTAACAGAAGGTAGAGAATTTGATCTTTTACTTACAAGTGAAATTTCATTTATCTATCTGAAATAGTACTCAAGTTATAGGCTTTTAAAAAATTCAAAGTAGGATAAGTACCACTTCCGGTTATCGGAAATCGCTCAAAAGTTGTTACGGATCTACGATTTTGATAAAATACTTATTTATGAAATTTCATCAACCTAGCTGTAACCGTACTCAAGTAATCGTGTTTACACACGGACAGACACACACACAGACAGACAGACACACAGACATAAGGACAAGATTGCAAAATTATGTTTTTCAGTATCAGTGAGGTGTAAAACGTCGAGATTTGTTAAAGTCTCAATTTTTTTTTTGCACGATTACAAGACTTTCTCTATACTTCGTATATACGAGAAAGCAAAAAGTGTTTTGTTTACTTCTAAATTATGTGTCTTCATTTACCTCGTGCTAACTACGCGTCTATCTTATTATGGAGAAATGTGACGACAGGGTGGTCTGATTCACATACACATTTATTTTTATAGAAATTTTTAAAAATCAAAATTATAATTTTCCAACAGTTGTAAAAAAAACGCAAATCCGGTTTTATTAACAACAAATTTAAAGCTATCAGCTAACTGATATATTTAAAAGTTATATTTAAAAACTCCAAAAATATTATTTCTATAAACACTTCTAAACGCAAATCCATTAAAACCACCGAGAGCATGGAAAGGAAGATTCCTCAGTGGTATAGCTTTTGACTTGTGTTAATGAAAGCTTTCGGGGCTTATGACTTGTGTTAATGAAAGCTTTCGGGGCTTATGACTTGTGTTAATGAAAGCTTTCGGGGCTTATGACCTGTGTTAATGAAAGCCTTCGTAGCTTATGACCTGTGCTATGAAAGCCTTTGGGGCTTATGACCTGTGCTAATGAAAGCTTTCGGGGCTTATGACCTGTGCTAATGAAAGCCTTAGGAGCTTATGACCTGTGTTAATGAAAGCCTTCGGAGCTTATGACCTGTGCTAATGAAAGCCTTAGGAGCTTATGACCTGTGTTAATGAAAGCCTTCGGAGCTTATGACCTGTGCTAATGAAAGCCTTAGGAGCTTATGACCTGTGTTAATGAAAGCTTTCGGGGCTTATGACCTGTGCTAATGAAAGCCTTCGGAGCTTATGACCTGTGCTAATGAAAGCCTTTGGGGCTTATGACCTGTGCTAATGAAAGCCTTAGGAGCTTATGACCTGTGTTAATGAAAGCCTTCGTAGCTTATGACCTGTGTTAATGAAAGCCTTCGTAGCTTATGACCTGTGCTATGAAAGCCTTTGGGGCTTATGACCTGTGCTAATGAAAGCCTTAGGAGCTTATGACCTGTGTTAATGAAAGCCTTCGAAGCTTATGACCTGTGCTATTGAAAGCCTTCGTAGCTTATGACCTGTGTTAATGAAAGCTTTCGGGGCTTATGACCTGTGTTAATGAAAGCCTTCGTAGCTTATGACCTGTGTTAATGAAAGCCTTCGTAGCTTATGACCTGTGTTAATGAAAGCCTTCGTAGCATATGACCTGTGCTAATGAAAGCCTTTGGGGTTTATGACCTGTGCTAATGAAAGCCTTAGGAGCTTATGACCTGTGTTAATGAAAGCCTTCGGAGCTTATGACCTGTGCTAATGAAAGCCTTAGGAGCTTATGACCTGTGTTAATGAAAGCTTTCGGGGCTTATGACCTGTGCTAATGAAAGCCTTCGGAGCTTATGACCTGTGCTATGAAAGCCTTTGGGGCTTATGACCTGTGCTAATGAAAGCCTTTGGGGCTTATGACCTGTGCTAATGAAAGCCTTAGGAGCTTATGACCTGTGTTAATGAAAGCCTTCGTAGCTTATCTGTGCTATGAAAGCCTTTGGGGCTTATGACCTGTGCTAACGAAAGCCTTAGGAGCTTATGACCTGTGTTAATGAAAGCCTTCGGAGCTTACGACCTGTGCTATTGAAAGCCTTAGGAGCTTATGACCTGTGTTAATGAAAGCTTTCGGGGCTTATGACCTGTGCTAATGAAAGCCTTAGGAGCTTATGACCTGTGCTAATGAAAGCCTTAGGAGCTTATGTCCTGTGCTAATGAAAGCCTTCGGGGCTTATGACCTGTGCTAATGAAAGCCTTCGAAACTTGTGGTGTGTGCTAATGAAAGTCCTCGGAAAGCTTACGTGTCAACAGATCTGCATACGTCTGGGTTGTTGGAATGGGTAATTGAATACCATTTAAAATAAAATAAAATAAAATATTCAATTAAAACAATGCTCCAATTATTTTCTAAAATCGAATCGAAATAGTGTTATCGAACCATATAAGTCGTGACTGTGGCCCAGAAGAGATCGAAGTTTACCAATCGCCAATAAAACAAATGAAGCATCTCGGTGCTTGTGGCTATATATCTTATCCAAAGAAAAATACAGTGCCAGAAAATGGCAGAGGAAGAAATGTCTCCTGTTTGAGCAAGATCGAAGGTGCTACCATCTAAAACTTCATTCTAGAATTGGGCTAATCATAAACCATACTCAATTGGGTAAGATGAAGGTAAAGCATGTCGAGTAAGAGATTGCTAATGATGGTAAATGGAGATGTCTCATTGACTTAGTGAAGAAAATATCTCCCAATGTCGTTATCTAGCGAAGTTTGATCCCGGGCTCCATGCTCCTTTTGGGGTCAAATGAACGAAGCAGCTTGCTCCTGTGGTCAGTGTTTGGTATATCAACAAGGTGAGGACCTTCTTTAACCAGGTAATTCCGACCATCCAGGTGCACTACCAGTGTTTCATCCAGAATTTTTTCTCCGGGGGAGGGGGGGGCGGACAAAAATTTTCGGGGGGCGGACTCTGTGCACTACGTCCCGGCAACGATCAAACCGGCGTTACCCTGGTCACTTGAAGCTTCTCAGATCTGCATTCCATCTCCACAGATAAAGCCTGGGCATCTATACTAAATAAAGGTTCATTTTAAAAATCTTGCCGTTTTTAATAAATATCCTGGTTTGCGTTTCAAAAGCTCAATCTTTGATAAAATTGTATTTTATTATCGTAAAGTGGTAGGCGGGTTGTTCTATTTATAGCACCAATTCTTCTATTGTGTTGTGTCAACAAAACGTTGTACACAAAGATGATTAGACGGGTTACTTGAAGGGTAGAGTGCATGTGATTGAACACGCTGTTAGCGTATCTTATCACGTCTAGCATGCTAAATATAGCCTATCTCGAGGTGTGAAATTAAAAAAAAAAAGATAGAACGATTGTTTAACGAGAATTGTGATTTTTCTGAAGATTCAAAACAATGTGATTTATTTAGTTTTAGTAAAGAAAAATTAGCAGCACTCAACCTTAAAGTTAATGAGAGTATTTGTGAAATTTATTGACACACATTCGTTCTTGATGGCAGTCACGGTAGGTGTAGAATGTCACGAAATAAACCGGGAGTGATCTCCCCTAAACTTTCTCGAATATTCTTATATAAAATAACAGGGGATGGGAACTCGGGCTATAGACATGATTTTTAATCCATTTTAAATTCTTAAAGTTTTAAAAATAGAATAAAATCTCGTAGACAAATTAATTACACACCAAGTGAACGCCAAATAAAAAAGCGCATAATAGTGCGCAATATTATTAGTACTTTAAAAATTTACATTAGTTTTTTGAGAAATCGGAAGTAGCGTAAATTACTACTTCCGGTCAACGGAAATTACTCAAAATTTAACAGAAGGTAGAGAATTCGATCTTTTACTTACATGTGAAATTTCATTTATCTATCTGAAAGAGTACTCAAGTTATAGGCTTTTGAAAAATTCAAAGTAGGAAAAGTACCACTTCCGGTTATCGGAAATCGCTCAAAAGTTGATACGGATCTACGATTTTGATAAAATACTTATATATGAAATTTCATCAACCTAGCTGTAACGGTTCTCAAGTAATCGTGTTTACACACGGACAGACAGACAGACACACACACAGACACACAGACATACGGACAAGATTGCAAAATTATGTTTTTCCGTATCAGTGAGGTGTAAAACGTCGAGATTTGTAAAAACCTCGATTTTTTTTTGCACGATTACAATACTTTCTCTATACTTCGTATATACGAGAAAGTAAAAAAAAAATAGAGGGGAAAATATTTATCTTTGGAAACTAGATCTGTACAGGAAAAAGTTTAAAATCGAAATTGCTGAACTTTGAGTTTCTTCAACTGGAAGCTAATCTCAACAATGCAAACAATGCATGGTATATTTGGTCTAGGAGTGCCGTTTTCATTCAACAGATGCACTATCTAACACCATGTGACACTAATCAGAGCCCATCTCTTATCTGGCCAATTACATCTGGTGTAACAATTTACACTGGCAGGTTTGCCGCGTGACACGAGTTTACCCTAGCACTAATTAAACCCCGCATCTGATTGGTCGTAAGAGTTAGGCCTAAAAATAGATAGTTTATAAAGGTAATTAAGGTGATGGTGATTAGTAATTAGCGGGTGATAGCTTGTGCTGCACGAGGAAGGTTTAAATGTCACGTTGTTCAATATCTGGTTATATTTAACGTGTGGTATTACACCGAAAGGCGAGTTGCTGAACTTGTTTAAAGTGTTCACATTGTTTCACGCTCTCAAATATTTGGGCAGGGTTTTCATACGCTAGAGGATTTACACGCATTGTTTAAGAAGCTTCTAGCCTACAGTAATGAGGACGTCGTTTAGAACCAGCCAACGCAATGACAACCACGACAGCAACCACGCCAGCAACCACGCCAGCAACCCAGTCCACTGCGCCATGCTCGGGGACGGGATGATCGGCAAAACGTCCTTAACATTGTCCTACTCGACCAACCATTTTAACGATGAGTACACGGCCACAATGCTGGACAGTTATGAAGGTGAGTCAGAAATTAATGTGTGTACAGTGTTTCTTTCAAACTTTTTTTTTCTGGGGCTGGGGGCGGGGGGGGGATGTACTTTAAATTTGCTGGTGGGGGCGGTAGACGTGTTTCGAAGAGATGCCTGAACGATAGAATGGTACGCATACAATCCAATGTCAATACTTGCTAGTAAGAGAACATAGATATTTTGGGCTTACATTTTGATCCTAGTGTTTCTTTGTGATCTTAACTAATTTCATTTGAGTTGTATGTTTCTTTCTGTTGTTGTTTTCACTTTAAATAATAATCTTTGATCAAAACTAAAAAATTCAACGAAAACATACACCATTGAAAAGAATCAATGTATTATCCAACAAAAGATTAGCTGCGGCAATTTATCGCAGTAATCAACACAATGTTAAAATACATTTGGATGAAAGTCACAATGATTATGAAATAGTCGTTACGTTTGTGTGGAATTACTAAAGACATTTGACATTAAATAATGCACATCTGCAATCACGTGGTAATTTCAACGTTTTTTTTTTAAATTTTACAGTGGCAGTTCACAACGACGGTCAACACTTCATACTTAGTGTGCAGGACACAGCGGGACAGGTAAAGATTGTTCTAGAACAATAGTTTACATCTGCTAAAAGCTAGAGTTTACAACAATTTGCATTTGTTAAAACCCCGAGTGTCCGCATTGTATTTATCGATCAGAAGGGAAGTCTTTCACAAATTAAAAGCTGAACACTACTAAATTTCCATTTAAAGCTGTTCTTCTTTACTAAAGTATGATTGAACTTTACTATAATTACCAGGTCCATTCTACCTTACAGTTCATGCTAAAACAAAAATGTATTTCTTGATGTTTTCCCAGAGTGATTTTGAAGATTTGCGCACCTTGACGTACAAGGATAGCGAGGTCCTGGTTCTTTGTTTCTCTGTCTGTGACAGGGATTCGTTCAACAACATCTTCACCTCATGGATACCGGAAATCAAACGTCACACCCGACGCAGACGACCCATCATTCTTGTTGGCACCCAAACGGACATGCGCACTGGGTGTCTGGATTCAGAAGTGACGCAAGAGGAAGGTCGTGCGATGGCCAAACTTGTGGGCGCCGTTACATACGTTGAATGCTCTGCTAAAAATAGATCTGGACTCCATGATGTTTTCTGCAACGTGCTGGGTATCGCCATGAGGAGAAGAAAAAGAAAAAATAGTTTTTTGGGCAGACTTTTCCAGCGGTGAGACAAAAGAACAGACCAGACACAGAACTGAGATTTACTGTTCAATCATACAGACCACCAAGGTTAGATTTCAGAGTACTCGGTGCTGTCCTAGAGCCGATGGTTTCTCTAAATCCCGCGACTTAAGCTGAATCGTCGTACCCGAAAGTTGAGCCATATCTGCCCAAGGGTCCGAACTCGAAACCTTTCTTTTTAGCAAGCATAAGCATTACCGACTCGACCACACCGATTCCGAAATAAAACATTTAGGGCAGTTTGAAGTTTTGTTGTACTTCTTGTTCGTTACACTACAACATGAACAACGAATGCAAAATCTATTGTTTTATAACATGAACTAGTGGAAGCCTCTACACTGCCAGTTATGTTTTCTTATATCCTGAGTTCTGTTATCCACGTGTGTAAATAGCCTACATGTATAGCTTTGCAAGTTTCGGTTTCGAACATTTGTAAAGTATGCAATGTAATAGGCAGACCTTGTGTAGGTGAGCAGTCTAGAGGCTTTGGTGCTAGCTCTTGGCCTATTTTAAGATTGTTTATCTGGTCAGTTGATTCACGTTGAGCTAGGGTTATTGTAGTAATATGAACGTATGTCATCGTTATAACATGATCTTATGTTATCATTTACTATAAGCATGTGATCGATGTAATATAAGCTTGTTATCATTATCATACAAGCTGAAACAAAACAAAGAACAGTGCTGGTAGAAGAAGCCGAGTCTAAGTGTTATAGAAGTTGTGTGTGTGTGGGGGGTGTATATATATATATATATGTGTGTGTGGGAGTGTATATGTATATGTGTGTGGTGGGTTTATATATATATGTGTGTGTGTTCTTGATGTATAGCAATATCACTAACATAAATAGCCGAGTTTGTCTAAAAAAAATATTATGTTGCCTGTGTACATTTGTAAAATAAGTTGAACAGCTTGGATTTTCTCCCAGGATATCTTTATATATACTGATGCTGCTGTATAATTATTGCAGAAACACCGAAATGTTGATGTAATTGTATGCCTAGACAACTAAAATGCGATATAATATATTGTATGGTCGCTTCTATATGCAGATATAGCTTTAAGTCACACAGCTGGTCTATGATACAGCTATATACAATGCAGATATAGGCCTATACTGTACTTCTGTCCCAACATTATTTTGTCCATACCGTTTAGTTCAACAAATGCTTATTTAAAGTAAAAAACAAGTGAAGAAAAAAAATTCTTTATATGTACATAAGTAGATTGGCTGTTATTTTTATAAAAGAAATTTTTACCAACATCCTGTGATAGTTGATTGTATATAGAAAATCGATGGTGTAATCTGGTTAAATACTCAGTGCTATTGTACCATTTTGTTTTAAATTAATAGACTTATGCACACATCGGGTTGACTAGTCTATATTTTGTACAATCCAACTCTGTTGATTTTTGTTTGTTTTTTATAAATATAAAATTTCGACGTTATGTTTGTCATACTTTTAAAAAAGCCGCGTATTAAAACAAGCCACTACATACATTTTATACATATATTGTTTTTCTTAAGTTGAACTTTCGTCATTAGAATTGCAACCAATTACATATAAATCCAGATCACAATGAAGGTCTGTATGTTTTGTTTCAAACTGGTATATGACGTCACGTGTGTTAGTTGTAGATATGACGTAACATGTGTTATTTGTAGCGAGGAATTGTCAGCATATGACGTCACATGTGTTATTTGTAGGGAGGTATTGTCAGCATATGACGTCACATGTGTTATTTGTAGGGATGGATTGTCAGTATATGACGTCAAATGTGTCATTTGTAGGGAGGTATTGTCAGTATATAACATGTACGTGTACAGCACACCATTAGAAACTACACAAACAACGACTGAGGCCTGTAGTTCAGTGGTAATGACTGTTTATTGAACATTATTAGGTGCAGATCTGGCTGATAGTGAAAAAAACAAACATTGAACAATGTATAATACAGATCATACTCCGCGTATATGTTAAGCAATGTGTGATTAGTAAACGGTGATAAAGGTTAATCGTATTATCTTTTAAAATAAAAGTTAAATCATATCACAATTTAAAACAAGGACAGATTTAGAAAATATGAATATATAGTGTAAAAAGGTAGCCTGATTTAATGATACCGGCACAAGTCAAGACCATCATATATCTATTTACTACTACTGAAGGAGAAGCCGTAGTTCTTGGTGCAGTCGACGTTCGACTGGATTTCGCAGACTCGTTGAACCGTGTCGAACCTCAGCCCGTCAGGGCACTCGTACACGTAGCTTGACCCTGCGGCACACGTGATGAAGCGGGAGCACTCGTTAGGGTCGGGGTAGACGCCGTTTTCGTGCAGGTTAAAGGTGGTACATACCTTGCTAGGGTCTGGGGAGGAATGTGTTAGTGGCAGTGTTAAATGTGGCACAGACTGACCATGCTCGGATTTTGTTAGTGGAAGTGTTAAATGTGGCACAGACTGACCATGCTCGGATTTTGTTAGTGGAAGTGTTAAATGTGGCACAGACTGACCATGCTCGGATTTTGTTAGTGGAAGTGTTAAATGTGGCACAGACTGACCATGCTCGGATTTTGTTAGGGGAAGTGTTAAATGTGGCACAGACTGACCTTGCTCGGAATTGGTGGCATTGAGATATGGGTATAAGATGTACATCGTAATAGCGGCTTCAACATAAGAAAGTGTTTTTTCCAGTTTAGACTAAGTGGAGTGTCGAATCAGTGTCACTATGGGGCGCTGGTCACGGATGCCCCCGACTTATCCTTTTACTGTATGAAGTGCTCGTCAATACTGATTTGTTGTGTGTAAATTAGCCCAACATATCGAGTTACTGTGCTCGTAAACGCAATCCAGGTATTCACATCCTTTATAAGCCTTATAGGCCGCTATTTCTCAATTAAAATAATTTTTTTAATAACTGCCAGATCAAATTATCTTTTTACAAGCTAAAATAATTAAAAAACGTACCTCGAAAGAGTTTTTGTGATTTCAGTGTGAAACTTACCGATCTTTTGCCAGTCATGGCAAGTAGTGGAGGTCACGTGACTCCCGCATTTCTTGAGCTGTGGGTCAAACGACTGAAACGTCGGGCAGTTTTCTATGGTGGTGTCCTGACTGCTACAGTTCAGGTACAGGTTGCAGTCGTAAGGGTGAGCGAACAGCCCGTCCCCCCACACGTTGTATTTGCAGACGTAGGAGACATCTGAAAAGTAGACGCGTAACTGTTGTCATGGAAACTGGATAATGCTACAGTTAGACTGATTTGTGAAAAAGTAATATTTAGTTTTTTTTAAAAAGAAAATTACAGATACAAGATGGACTCACATAATTTCTTTTTTTTAAGAACATAACCTTAATTGATATTTAGTGGAATCATATCTAAACGATGACATATGTATCAGTAGCTAGAATTTATTTACAGAGTATCAAAAAACTACCCTAACAGGCTAGGATGAGTCTCCTTTCGGCTGAAACGAAAATCCGATCTGAATGTATATTTTGGTTATTTGTTGACTATTTAGTGTATAAACCAAGCAAGTTTACTACAACCTACTGAACAGCCCCATACCTTCATGAATTATACCTTAGTCTACTGCCGTAGCCCTATGCCTGCAACTGTATCCCCAGAGCTAGTGCAGCAGCTTTATATCACTATTCATTATATCATTATATCTTCTACCATAAACCGTTTTCCCACTTCAACAACCCAGTCAATCCAAAGCTATAGAAAATCGTAACCTCTTTAAAATCCTAACCCCTTTTAAATCCTAACCCCTAGTGAATCTAAATCCCTTTCATCGTGCCGCCTTTACCTGAAATGTTGCACCAAGCCACGGGCGAGGGCTGCACGCATGACTTGTGCTGAGCGTCATAGATGAGGCCGCTGTCACAGGTTACAATGGTAGTCTTGTTGTCCTTACAGATGACGTACTTCTCGCACGTGTAGGGCAGTGAGTAGTAGCCGTCAGCCCAGTCATTATCCACGCACAATTCTGGTGAGGTAGTTAGTGAGGTGGGCAGTTTAGAACAATGAGGTAGTCAGTGAGGTGGTCAGTGAGGTAGTCAGTGAGGTAGTCAGTGCAGAACAGTGAGGGGGTCATTGAGGTGGTCAGTGGGCTGGTCAGTGATGTGGTCAGTGATGTGGTCAGTGAGGTGATCAGTGAGGTGGTCAGTGAGGTGGTCAGTTTAGAACAATGAGGTGGTCAGTGAGGTGGTCAGTGAAGTGGTCAGTGGAGAACAGTGAGGGGGTCAATGAGGGGGTCAATGAGGTGGTCCGTGCTGTGGTCAGTGAGGTGGTCAGTGAGGTGGTCAGTGAGGTGGTCAGTGAGGTGGTCAGTGAGGTGGTCAGTGAGGTAGTCAGTGAGGTGGTCAGTGAGGTAGTCAGTGAGGTGGTCAGTTTAGAACAATGAGGTGGTCAGTGAAGTGGTCAGTGAAGTGGTCAGTGGAGAACAGTGAGGTTGTCATTCCCCATTTTATTAATTGAAAGGAATTTACGTTTTTAAGATTGAATGATCATAAAGCAACTGTCACAATAAATTTGAACTTTAAAAAAATGGCATGTATACATTGCTTAGAATAACTCGTATTTAGATTTGACCTAGGATGTAGTTACTAAAACAAATGCTCCATGGCACTTAAGTTTATGTAGTCTTCAGCGACGATAGAAAAATGAAATTCTTACCTCTCACCACGACATCCACTGTAACAAAACACAAATTGGGTAGTCATTAATAATTAGAAACACAAGTTTTGCTCTTCGAAATGTAAATGTTTTTGTTCAAAATTCTACCATTAAAAACTCGACTTATAGCCTACTCACGTCTTCCCCAAACTTTTTTATTTTTTTTATTTTTCTAGACCCCAAAACACTTATGGATGATCATATAGATTGCTTGAGGGATTAAAGTTCGGACAAATATTTCAGGAAACTCACCACCGTTTCCTCCTGTCCCACTTTTGGGCGTCACAGGGCGCGGAGGGGTGGGGGATTGGCGTTAAAGTAAAAAACTCGTAACATGTAGGCCTACTTATCCAATTGAAAATTATAAAATTGTAGAGCGCTATTGGTAACAGCAAATCGTAAATTCAAAACTGTTGAGGGGGGGGGGGTGATGTTGACACACTTAGAAATCAAATCAAGCGACACCCGACCCAGTAACGCCACGGACTACACCTACTTTGAAAGTGGTTATTTGACTTATAACGAAACATAGAAGATAAATACGAATTGTATTTGTACTTGTCTTTAACTTATGAGGTAACTAACACTGTCTGTTTTATAACTAACGACACAGAAATACGCGCTAGTATCATCTCTTACATTTGCAGATAATTTCGTTCATATATACGCGCTAGTATCATCTCTTACATTTGCAGATAATTTCGTTCACAGCCTGCACAGTTGTATCGAGTTGAGTCAAGTTTGTGACTTGTAGAAAATTGTCGTTGGTCATCTCTTTCAGCAGAGTCTCATTAACATCAGGACCGTAACCGACTGCTATGATCTGTATGCCACGGCTCCTTACAGCTCTTGCGGCTTCCGCAGCTGGAGAAAGTACAAGTTATTATTAATATAATATCTCGGGCTATAGGATGTTTGTAATGTTTTGATTGAATTACATACAGCTGGTTTACATCAATTAGCCGATACCTCCCATTATCATACAGTTAAAGCAGGCGTAGACGACATGATTAGGTTTAAGGTTAGAGTTTTAAAGCTAAGGTTTGACGCTAATCATTATTGTCGGTATTAGTTTTACGCAGATATAGGTCTATTTATTGAATGCTTATAGTTGCTTAACTGAAAAGTTCCGAGTTCGGATGGATGAGGCCAGATACCTGGAATCTAGGAGAGAAACTTAGAAGTAGGATGGACAAAAGCTATGGAAAGAAATCCAAAAGAAACTTAGAGGTAGTAGGATGGACAAAAGCTATGGAAAGAAATCCAAAAGAAACTTAGAGGTAGTAGGATGGACAAAAGCTATGGAAAGGAATCCCAGAGAAACTTAGAGGTAGTTGGATGGACAAAAGCTATGGAAAGAAATCCAAAAGAAACTTAGAGGTAGTAGGATGGACAAAAGCTGTGGAAAGAAATCCGAGATAAACTTAGAGGTAGTAGGATGGACAAAAGCTATGGAAAGAAATCCGAGAGAAACTTAGAGGTTAGTTGGATGGACAAAAGCTATGGAAAGAAATCCGAGATAAACTTAGAGGTAGTAGGATGGACAAAAGCTATGGAAAGAAATCCGAAAGAATTTTAGAGGTAGTAGGATGGACAAAAGCTATGGAAAGAAATCCAAAAAGAAATCAGGCTGAAATCAGAGTCAATGCGCATAACATGTTAAAGCGTACTATTTAATATTGTTTTTAAGGAAAGAAGAAGAAAAAGGGTCAGTATGGGATTTGTAGGCTTTTACAATATTGAACAAAAAATCTTCATCTTAATCAAATTTAGCTCCAAAATAAAAACAAATATTGTTTTTTTCCCAGTAACATTTTGTATTCGAAATGATAGCAGGGTTATACTGTACGATCATACATACATGGTAACCAAACATAGACGTACCTGTTGTAGTGTCGAGCATACAACGTACCTGTTGTCAGGTTTTTAGATGTACCGTCGGTCAAAATAAGAATAATCTTGACGGAGTTGGCCCGTCCTCCGTTAGCAATGCTGAACATGTCTTGATCAACGACTGTTTTCAAAGCAACGTCAAATTTGGTACCACCATCCAGGAACGGTGTGTCTCTCAAACCCTGCATGGTTGGGTTTACATTAACAAAATAGGCATATACCACTGTGTTATATAATAAAGCCTTTATACACACACACACACACACACACACACACACATATATATATATATATATATATATATATATATATATATATATATATATATATATATATATATATATATATATATATATATATATATATATCTGTTACATTTTTTCGAGTTGCTCCAAAAATATTTCCACAATATATTTATCACCTATTCGCCATCTCAGACTAGCTTCTTCTTTTACCACCTCGGCACACCTTGTCACCACATTGACTTACCATGTCACCACCTTAACTTATCATGTCACAACCTAGACTTATCATGTCACCATCTTAACGTACCATGTCACCACCTAGACCTATCATGTCACCACCTAGACTTATCATGTCACCACCTTGACTTATCATGTCACCACCTAGACTTATCATGTCTCTACCTAGACTTATCATTTCACCACCTAGACTTATCATGTCACCACCTAGACTTATCATGTCACCATCTTGACTTATCATGTCACCACCTAGACTTATCATGTCTCTACCTAGACTTATCATGTCTCTACCTAGACCTATCAGGTCACCACCTAGACTTATCATGTCACCACCTACACTTATCATGTCACCATCTTGACTTATCATGTCACCACCTAGACTTATCATGTCTCTACCTAGACCTATCAGGTCACCACCTAGACTTATCATGTCACCACCTAGACTTATCATGTTACCACCTAGACCTATCATATCACCACCTACACTTATCATGTCACCACCTTGACTTATCATGTCACCACCTAGACTTATCATGTCACCACCTTGACTTATCATGTCACCACCTTAACGTACCATCTCACTACCTAGACTTATCATGTCACCACCTTGACTTATCATGTCACCACCTTAAATTATCATGTCACTACCTAGACCTATCATGTCACCACCTTGACCTATCATGTCACCACCTTGACCTATCATGTCACTACCTAGACCTATCATGTCACCACCTTGACTTACGTCTTCTAGCTCCGTTTTATTTTCATATTTCCCTAGATGAAAAACCACTTGGGCCGAAGAACTGTAGCTGACGGCAGCGAACCGGAAGTCCGTCGGCCCGACATCGTATCTGTCGATGACATCCGAAGCGAACTTGAGCTGAACATCGAACCTCTCCCCGTACATACTCTCAGAGGTGTCCAGCAGGACTACTACATCGGCCACCTTCTTACAACTTGTGCCTGATCAGACGCAGTAGTCATGTTTACATGGGACCCAAAGATTTACATTTGCTATAGATAAATAGACTAATCTTCAACACAAATGTTAAGGCAATATTTCTTATGGCTCGGAGACCTGGAGGGTTACCAAAAAAAAAAACAGACAGGCTACACACAAATTGATGTTTACGACATATCTTCAAGATACGACGGCCGGACCAAATGTCAAATGAAGACCTGTGGCTAATCAAAACAGGGACATTACAGTCTGAAAATAGCGCTAGACAGGAGTCCCCAGGGGGAAGAAAAAAGTGGGCCGGCCAAAGAGAAAACCAGTTGAAGATGAGCCAAGGACTGCCGGCTTTACTCCCCTGGGGCAACAAATGATTAAGTCGAGTCGTATGTAAATAGAGCTTCGGACGTTACTGTTTCCCATATTGTACATCAAAGAATGATAACATTTCTATAACAGCTACCAGCTAAGTTGACGGATTAATAGAATGGAATGTATATTTAAATTTTCTTACCACCTGGCAATTTCGAAGCTGAAAAAAAAACATAGTTGAAAATTTAATACGTTTTATTATCCACTCTTTGAGGGTAAATAAAAGAAACTATTTACTTAAATCAAATTATCGAACTTTAGATTTTTTTTGCCAAACATATTTAACTACTTTTATCTATCCAAAACAATCACATACCCAGCTTTGCTTTGATAATTGTAAATTTTATTGAACTGAGTTTTTCTACTTATTTCGTACAATTTGAAAATGACTTAAAATGTAGGCCTACTTTTCTCCAATTTAGCCAAATCGTATCTGTTTATTATTTGGCATCTCCAAGCCAACCCATTTATTTATAACAAAGATTTAACGGTAGCAAAACTAAAATTTTGGAAGTCTAAATTTTACGTACCTTCGCAAACCCTATCGTGAACTTCATCAAGGTGTGTATGGAGTTGACTAGAATCGGACGCGTTAAAAACATTCTTGGGATCTCCCGTGATTTCCTCTAGCTCCGTCAGATTAGCCGAGCTGCTCACTCCAATGGCGATGATTTGGATGCCTCTGTCTCGTATGTTGATGGCGGTCTTCAGTGCTGGGGAAGTAACTCAGGTGTTTACTTTTATACTGTTACAAGTATAAAAATAGCCTGTCACAAGGGGCTAATAACTCAGGTGTTTACTTTTATACTGCTACACGTATAAAATAGCCAGTCACAAGGGGCCGATAACTCATGTGTTTACTTTTAAACTGCTACACGTATAAAATAGCCTTTCACAAGGGGCCAATAACCCAGGCGTTTACTTTTATACTGCTACACGTATAAAATAGCCTGTCACAGGGGCCAATAACTCAGGTGTTTACTTATATACTGCTACACGTATAAAATAGCCTTTCACAAGGGGCTAATAACTCAGGTGTTTACTTTTATACTGCTACATGTATAAAATATCCTGTCACAGGGGCTAATAACTCAGGTGTTTACTTTTATACTGCTACATGTATAAAATATCCTGTCACAAGGGGCTAATAACTCAGGTGTTTACTTTTATACTGCTACATGTATAAAATATCCTATCACAGGGGCTAATAACTCAGGTGTTTACTTTTATACTGCTACATGTATAAAATATCCTGTCACAAGGGGCTAATAACCCAAGTATCTCATACTGCTAAACAATATCCACCAAAAACCAAGAAAATGTTATACAATGGTGTTGTTTGAAGTGTTATTTGACATCTTTTTGAAAGTTACCTACGGCGACAATTAGAGTTAAACGTGATTGTATGTTTGTTTAATCTTCAATTGATTTGATTTTATCGTAGCCCTACAAATACATCAACGTACAGTTTGACATAGACCTAACTTTCTGAAATAGACATATGACAACACACTAACTTACTGTCTCTCACAGACCTATGACAACACACCAACTAACTGTCTGACACAGACAACACACCAACTTACTGTCTGCCACAGACCTATGACAACACACCAACTTACTGTCTCTCTCAGACCTATGACAACACACCAACTTACTGTCTGACACAGACCTATGACAATATGACAACACACTAACTTACTGTCTGCCACAGACCTATGACAACACACCAACTTACTGTCTGACACAGACCTATGACAATACACCAACTTACTGTCTGACACAGACCTAACTGTCTGACACAGACCTATGACAACATACCAACTTACTGTCTGCCACAGACCTATGACAACACACCAACTTACTGTCTGCCACAGACCTATGACAACACACCAACTTACTGTCTGACACAGACCTAACTGTCTGACACAGACCTATGACAACACACCAACTTACTGTCTGACACAGACAACACACCAACTTACTGTCTGCCACAGACCTATGACAACACACCAACTAACTGTCTGACACAGACAACACACCAACTTACTGTCTGACACAGACCTATGACAACACACCAACTTACTGTCTGACACAGACCTATGACAACACACTAACTTACTGTCTGCCACAGACCTATGACAACACACCAACTTACTGTCTGACACAGACCTATGACAACACACCAACTTACTGTCTGACACAGACAACACACCAACTTACTGTCTGCCACAGACCTATGACAACACACCAACTTACTGTCTGACACAGACCTATGACAACACACCAACTTACTGTCTGACACAGACCTAACTGTCTGACATAGACCTTACTGTCTGACATAGACCTAACTGTCTGACACAGACCTATGACAACACACCAACTTACTGTCTGACACAGACAACACACCAACTTACTGTCTGACACAGACCTATGACAACACACCAACTTACTGTCTGACACAGACCTATGACAACACACCAACTTACTGTCTGACACAAACCTATGACAACACACCAACTTACTGTCCGGCATGACACTGTCATCAGTGATTAAGATGACGATCTTAGCTGTACCGTCCCTGGCCCCAGCTGCCGGTGAAAACATACCCTGGTAGATAATCTCTTTCAGTGCCTGGGTTGTGTTTGACCCAGTTGATAAGTAAGGTGAGTTCACCAGAGCCTGGAGAAAGTGTAGAGTTAAATAGCAGAGCTGGGGTCTATATGTCTTACAGAACAAAAAAAACGTATTTGAACGTTTTTGTTATGTATTTTGCTTTTGTTTCTTTAGTATTTCATTCCAACCTTGATTTTAAGGCAAATACGGTCTTTAAATTAAAAAAAAACAGTTTTCAATTTTTTTGGAGATTACTGTAAGAAGTATGTAAATCAACTTTCTATTTATTTCTTACACTAGTAAGCGATTCGTGGTCGCTGAAGTTCTTCAAGTCGAACCTCTTGTCGATCTGAGTTCCAAACACAATGGCACCGAAACGGAAGAACAACGGGCCGAGGCTGAACATCTCCGAGAGATCGGCTGCAAACTGTTTCTCAAGCCCGAAGCCAGTCTCATGCCAGCTGTCTGAGGAGTCTAGCAGAAAGATGATGTCTGCAGAACTGGTGCAACTTTTTCCGGCGGAGACTTTGAAAAAAAAAATCGTTCACATTATTCAATGTATTTGGTAAAAAAACTATACAATAGTTATGTTTTTTTGGACAGACAATAGCATAAACAGTATGTTTAGTCAATATTTTTACGGTTTCTTTTTTTATTACATAGTATGGATGTTGTGGCATTTGTAAAGCATGGACGCATGGATTACTGCATATAAATTATTAACACCGTCAACGTATGCATATTTAGCATCGTCAACTTCAGCACACATAGCAATGTCAATCTCAAAAAACTTAGAACTACCGACGTAGTCACATACCCGAGCTACTTTGGCCATACGGGTAGTGTGTAAGGTGCGGGATAAGGGAGGTGCCCGCGGTGATGTGGGGTTTGAATAAGAGATGTGTTAAGTGTTGTGTTAGTGATGTGGGGCATGGATGAGAGATGTGTTAAGTGTTGTGTTTGCGATGTACTACAAGGGGTGTGGGCAGAGGGCTACTAGCGATGTGGCCGACGCGATTGATGTAGTCGCTGGTCACATCGGTTCGTCCACCACAACCTCGAACTTACGTTGGCAGACCTGCTTCTGGACGTCGCTCTGTTTGCTTGGCAAGTCGTAAAAGCTGGTGGCGTTGATGACGCCAGAAGGATCACTGGCGATGTCCCGTCTCTCTTCAGCAGAGACCTTTGTCCCGACAGCCACAAATATTACCTGCACACCGCTACTGTGTAGGACTTTGGCGCTAGTCCGGGCTAGAGAGAGGGGGGGGGGGGGTAAAACAACTTTTTTATTGCGTAGATATTTTTTTATAGCAAAACGACGTATTTTGTAATACTAATTATTATAGAGGGTCTTACACATACAATTTACACACTTACATATATATATATATATATATATATATATATATATATATATATATATATATATATATATATATATATATATATATATATATATATATACAGGACGTACAGTGAAACACTGCCAATAAACTATCCCGAGACGAAAACAAGAGTAGTAACTTACTGCCGTTAGGATCGTGTGAACCGCCGTCTGAGACAACAACGAGAACTTTGACGGCCGACCCCCGTCCACCGTGAGAGGTGCCGAACAAATTGTTCTCGACCACAGTCCGTAGGGCCTTGGTTGTGTTGGTGCCCTCCTCAAGGAATGGCGCCCCCTGTATGGCCTGTAATATAGGGAGGGAGAATACTTTGTCATTTACTGAGTTGGTGATACCTTTACCTATGTATTATAAAATAAACAGGCAAACAAAGTTTATTAATTAGTGAGTGCTTAAATAAACGAACAAATAGATTAATGAATGAAGAAGTAGGGGCATTCCTACATAAAAAAAATAATTTAAGATAATGGGCGATATTGCTACGCAGAGTGGCCGCCCCTGCCTTTAAGAAAATATTACCCAATTCTCTGTGGCCCCACCTACCGGCGCTTTCTTAACAATACGGCCCATTAATTAAATAAATGAGTCATTTATATATATATATATATATATATATATATATATATATATATATATATATATATATATATATATATATATATATATATATATGTATATATATATATATATATGGTGACAGGACAAATGATCTCCGGACAAATGATCTCAGGACAAATGAACTCAAGGACAAATGATTTCACGGACAAAAGTTACCTGGACAAAAAATATTATATATGTTAGTGTGTCTGTGTGTCTATGTAGCAGATGGTTCAATTAAGATGAACGAGGCATAAGTATACAATTTGCTTTCGTAAATAGCCAAAAAACAATCAAAGATGGATCTCACCTCTCTTATTTTCTGTTCTGTTGTGTATGTGTGTAGATCGAAAACCTTGACCACCTCACTACTGTACACCACAGCCCCAAACCTCGTCTTGTCGTCTGCAAGATCGAACAGTGCCGCCAAACTGGCAGTGAAGTCGAGCATCGTTTTGAAGTTCTCGGACGTGAGGCTCTCAGATGCGTCCAGGAGAAAGATGATGTCCCTTTGTTTGTCATCACAGGTTGTACTAGGTGCGTTTGTTGTACCTGGCAAGTTGAACTCAATTTAATTTGTAATTTATTATTGATTTATGCCATTTGGTATTTAATGATGGATGCATGTAGAACGCGGACCGTTGCATACAATGTGGGTCAAGGCTTATAAGTCCCCAAGAAGTGGACAGAAGAAGCATGAAAGTTTATTAACAAAATTATTTTTTCTTTTGAAACAGTAAGTAAATTTTAATTATATGCATCTACCTTAACATATAACTTCGATGTGCATGATTAATTATTTGTATGGAAAACAAAGCTTGAGTCCTATGGAAATAAAATAGTGCTATATCAGAGCAGAGGCGTAGTGACCTATTCCAGCGCCAGGATTGGACTATCAATTTTGCGGCTATTCTCTCCCATATATATATATATATATATATATATATATATATATATATATATATATATATATATATATATATATATATATATATATATATATATATATATATATATATATATATATATATATTCCTGTCTATGAAAAAGCGCCCCCCCACCCTCCCAGATGTAATGGTTTGTGGCGCTTCTTACCAGTTACTATCCCGTAACAGTTTCTTTCTCGGTGATGTCAAATTGATGTAGAAAACAGTTACATCAGTGAATAAAACCTTGAAGTTGTTTATTTTCGTAACTTTGACTGTGTATAATTCGACACATCAGCTTAAAATGAGCTTTTAAATTAATGTTTCTACCACTTTTGGCGTCCCCTTAGTGTCGGCCGCCCCGCCCACATACGACTATCTTCATTGATCGGAGATCAATTAAATTAAATCTAAAAAAAATCAAAATTACAACAGCAAACACGTTACTGAAACTACGAATTAAAAGCTATCATGTTATGTACCCTAACTATCACATTTTTATTAACTCATCGCAAAGTAGATCTACAGCCTATTTCTTGGCTGACTTATCGGCATGTGCGAGGCTCTTATTTTGTGTGTTAATTTTAGCTCCTGTACATCTGCTGTTGTATTATTCCTGCTGATATAGACCGTCAACCACGTACAGGTCTATCGTAATTAACAAGTGTAGTCGTTGCTTGTGTTGTCAGGCTCAATATTCAGCCATCCATCTTTTATACGGGAGGTTGGCCTACATACAGTGGTACTTAATGAACATATTACATAAATACCTCGGATAAATTTTATTAAAACAATATAAAAACACAATGGATAAGAGTAAAACTGCCTCCAAAAGATGAATGAGCAAACTTCAAATAAAGAATAACTGTTTTTTTACAATAAAAAACTTAGCTTTTAAAACAGGTAAAACTCCGTTAATATTGTTATTGCAATTATCAGTAAAGAGTTGTGTGAGCAATACAGAGATCTTACCAATACCGTATCACTAAAATAAAAAATTATACGTGTAAGTGTATTTATGTATTTATATGTACATATCTTTAGCACGTGTACCTGAAGCACTTGTCGCTGAAGGTTTAGTATTGACAGCTTGACTCGAAGACGAAATAGATGAACTTGCAGCTGTTGACGTAGTATTGACAGCGTCACCTAAAGCAGTTGCATCTTAATAAAATTATATTAAATATTTAGAAGCAAAGTTGTATTAGCTACAATGTTTATTAAACATTTTACACAGGCCGGTAGGAAAGTTAACACAAGCCAGAGGCGTAGCAAGGGGGGGGGACGTAGGGGGAAATATGTTCCCGGGCGCCGACCTTAGGGGGGGGGGCGCCAAATTGAAAGTTTGAGGGGGGTGCAAATGAAAACTTCGAGGGGGGGTGCAAATCGAAAGTTTGAGGGGGGTGCAAATGAAAAGTTCGACGGGGGGGTGCAAATCGAAAGTTTGAGGGGGGGGGGGGAGTGCAAATAAAAAGTTCGAGGGGGGTGCAAATCGAAAGTTTGTACCCGGGCGCCGGGAGGGGTCGCTACGCCTCTGACACAAGCTGCTAGATCCTTGCTATTCTATACTGATAACACAGTAAACACGTTTTCTAAAAAATTAATAATAAAGACTAAATAAAAAATATTGTTTTTAGTTACCTTTCCTCCCGTCTGAGGATTTCGATTAATTGCGTCTAAAGATAAAATGCGCATTTGTTTTCTCTATGTCTATCGTTCATATATGCTTAGATTTGCTTGTGTGAGATAGAATGTTGTTATAAGTTAAAAAGAAACTATCAAACTCACTTTCTTCATCAGCATCCAGAATATCTTGTGATAAGGAACTTTCTGACAAATCATTTTCTTTTTTAAACAAAAGAAATATTAATTACTCAATGTACTTACAATCTACATGTTTACATTACATTTAATATACACTTGACATCTGCATTTGCACATCACATCTGACATATAAGCCTACATTACATCTACATGTGTACATGACACCTGACATACTTTACATATGTATATGTACATCACATCTGACATTTACTTAACACCTACATGCCATTACCACAATTACATCAACTTGGCATCTGAATAGCGTCATCACATTTTGCGTTTATGTGACATTAGTTTTCTACCAAGAGTCCCATTAACTATTTCACACATGTTCCTTATACCCAAATCTACATTAAAAAATGCAACGATCCACGGGTTTCTAAACCTAGTCTTTATGTAACAAATATCAATAGCTTTATAAGTTTAAAAAAAGAGAGTAAAACAAGAAAATAAAACAATGTATATTTAGTAAAAGATTTTATAATGTGCGATAGATTCATGAAGAAAAAAAAGGTTTTATAATAATATTGAAAGAAAGATAAATAGTACTATTTATTAACCAGCAAAGTTCGACCTGACATAACTTACCGACAATGAAGGCTGAAGTTAGAGTTAAAACTAGCAACAATACCGGCAGACTTCGATTCCACATACTTGAAAGCATCGCGTCCTTCGTTATTGAAACAATACGCCAAATGTTTGATGAAAAACCTGAAGAAACGACTTAGGAAAACTGTGCTAGACGTAGAACGAGTGCTCGCTTCCCCAGTTACCAGAGGAAGTCAGCGTAAAGTGAGGCTAGTGTCTTATTTATAGCGATGGCTGGAGTCGACTGTATTTGTGACGAGTCAAATCACAGTGGGATGCCAGTCAAATAGTCGAGGGTTATCAGGAGGGTCGAGTTTTTGCCGAGTTTTAGTTTTTTTTATTCTAAAATCACGATAGGGTGTGAATATGTGTGTATGTGTGTGTGTGTGGGGGGGGGGGGGGGGGGGGGGCTGGTAGTGATAAGTAAAGGGTGGGGGGGGCGATTTTTTCGTTTTTATAAAACTATTGAAAAAGTATGAGTTTTGCCCTGAAATCATTTGTTTCCGTTCATCGTACTTAGAATAATGAGTGTGTGTGTTCATCATGTAGTTAGCGCCACGTAAATAAATAGTATTTTAGGGACGTCAAGATTTTCCTCTTTATCCCTCCCCTATCGTCAAAAATAGCCTGACCCCTCCCATTAAAATTACGTCACCACCACAGCTGACCACTTCGATCAAGCATTCAATTTGCAGTTGAAACAGCGATAACTTTATAAAATACTTTTTACTTAGCTCCAACCCCTACCCCTACCACCACCCCCTACCACCCACACCACCCCAAAAGTGTGACGTAGTTTATGGATGAGCCCTTTCTCTGCAACGAGAATGTAAACTTGACATATATGTTAAAACATCTTATTAGGGCTATAAATAGCATCTTTTGCTAAAATTTCACATTTAATCAAATTCAGTCCTTCAAATCTTTACATTTTGTTTTCTCCATCAAAACATGTTTTCTAGGACGTGGGACCACGCATGTGTCCGTGTTGACTTAGTAATTAGCACGTGCAAGACTTGATCATTTGTTGGCGTCGTTTCAGCGAATCTAACGAAACTTGTTTGATTCGTGATTAAAGATAAAACATACATGAAAACTTTTATACTAAAACGTTTCAAATGCACTAAAATTAAGGAAAATATTTTAAAATGTCTTTAGCTAAATAGTTAAAGTGTGGTCGCTCGAAAAATATATTTAATGCAGTTTAGCAGCTATCAAAGCTTTGCATGTATAATTAAAACAAATTATGATTATTTTCGTATTTCAGTACTTTTGAAACATTGATATTATAAAGAGTTTTATTTTTCATATAATAAACTTACTAGTGTAATTTAGAACATCTTTAAGTTTTAAAACAAACAATACAATACTAATTATTTCAAAGTTGATCAAATATTCACACCACTGACGGATACTGACATCACTGACATTTACACTGACACCATTAACTTATAAACTGAAACCACTGACATTTACACTGACACCATTGACTTATAAACTTACACCACTGACATTTACACTGACACCATTGACTTATAAACTTACACCACTGACATTTACACTGACACCATTGACTTATAAACTGACACCACTGACATCTACACTGACACCATGTAAAAGTGTGACCACACTATAAACGTGACGTTTTGCCGATTTGTGTAGAATAAGAGAACCACTCTAACATTTTAAATAAAATAAATCTATTTCAAAAAGTAAACTTAATTTGTCAATTCCGCTTTCAGGAAAGACTACCGTAAGGCTTCAAGTTTTGTAAAAATTAATGTATATTTACTTCCCCTTAAAAGACACTTTTTGTTGAAATTCATTGTGTCATTTTTTAAGACATTAATAGAATTATTGTTACTTATTCTAATTAAATATAAGCGAAAGCTTTTAGAGTATTAATTTGCTAAATAATGCTATGGTAAAATGTTTTAGGGATTGCACAAAACAAATGCAGCTAAAATAAACCGGGAGTGATCTCCCCTAAACTTTCTCGAATATTCTTATATAAAATAACAGGGGATGGGAACTCGGGCTATAGACATGATTTTTAATCCATTTTAAATACTTAAAGTTTTAAAAATAGAATAAAATCTCGTAGACAAATTAATTGCACACCAAGTGAACGCTAAATAAAAAAGCGCATAATAGTGCACAATATTATTAGTACTTTTAAAATTTACATTAGTTTTTTGAGAAATCGGAAGTAGCGTAAAGTACTACTTCCAGTCAACGGAAATTACTCAAAATTTAACAGAAGGTAGAGAATTAGATCTTTTACTTACATGTGAAATTTCATTTATCTATCTGAAATAGTACTCAAGTTATAGGCTTTTGAAAAATTCAAAGTAGGAAAAGTACCACTTCCGGTTATCGGAAATCGCTCGAAAGTTGATACGAATCTACGATTTTGATAAAATACTTATATATGAAATTTCATCAACCTAGCTGTAACGGTACTCAAGTTATCGTGTTTACACACGGACAGACAGACAGACACACAGACACACAGACATACGGACAAGATTGCAAAATTATGTTTTTCCGTATCAGTGAGGTGTAAAACGTCGAGATTTGTAAAAATCTCGATTTTTTTTTTTGCACGATTACAATACTTTCTCTATACTTCGTATATACGAGAAAGTAAAAAGCAATATCAAAATATGTACAGTTTAACAACATTTGCTTTTAGTTTCAATTTAGTTTTAAATGTTTAGTTACATATTTTACCAATTTTTGTGAAAGGCCTATATATTTGTTTCAAAGAAAAAATAATTTTTCAAAAAAAAAAAGAAAAAAAAAAACCCAAGGCTCTATTTACTTGAAGATGCCGTTTTTATTTTAATCAGCAGCAACTTAGATTTAAAGCTCCCCCAACTCGTGACGATAATATCGGGTTCCCGCCTAGCTTTGCGGGTCCCGCCCCTCTTGACCCGATCTACGCTTCAAGTCCCGGTGCCTTAAGGCACAACATGTCAACATGTCCGTCCCCACACATTTTCTCTCGCTCATATCTTAATGGAGATGTCTCGAGGTTACATCAGGGGCTTACCTTACATTGGTCACGTCTCTGATTACGAACAACGTTTCGAGTTACGAACCTAACCGCACAATTTGAAGCGTGATTGTGCGCTTTCTGTGCTGGGTATATGAATGCTGGGCTAACGAAAGAATTGATGACACAGCAAGAATAACAAGAAGACCACAGGTAGAAAAGATAATGTGGTAAGTGTATAGATCGTACTACAGGTCAACCTCACAAGGAATGAGAAGACGCCGATTGACACCAAAAAGTTTGGGAAAATGGGGAGACATTACTGGATATCACCTTTAGACGCCAACAATGACAGTGACTAATTGGATCTGTAGATGTATAGTTGTTTCAATGATGCTGTTAGCACGAAATATGTTTTAAAACTCTAACAATAACAAATTACAAATACAACATGTGGAACATGAAGCTAATGTTAGGCTTGTCCAAAAATAGTTTACCCTGTGTATTGTAGAATTGTTGGGCTAGTCCAAAACTAGTTTACCCTGTGTATTGTACAATTGTTGGGCTAGTCCAAAAATAGTTTACCCTGTGTATTGTACAATTGTTGGGCTAGTCCTAACCTAGAGTACTCTGTGTATTGTACAATTGTTGGGCTAGTCCACAACTAGAGTACCCTGTGTATTGTACAATTGTTGGGCTAGTCCAAAACTAGAGTACCTTGTGTATTGTAAATAGACATTGCCGTTTACAATCGATTAATAAATTTAAGTACCGGGCCCTTCATTTTGTTCTACTTTCACTGAAACATTTTAATACAGCACAAAGCAAATGTTTAGACTACAGACTGTAGGATTGCAAATGTTTGGATCTATCTGTAACTCCAAGAGCTCTTGGCTGTGACAAGAGAGTCACCTCCCCTGGGTCTGTCAATAGTTGAACTACTTCACACACCAGCATCTTATCAAAGTTTTGACACGGCCCTCCACCACGTGAGGCATCACCAGACGTTGGGCGGGGTCCCTAGAGATACAAGAGACATGTCACTTCAACAAGTCGAGGTTAAGCCGTCTGGGTCCTACAGGCGTGAGTCACGTCTTGTCAGCTGATATCTCATGCAATTAAACCAGGGCCAAGTTTGGGGTTAGTCATAAGTCGGATCATCTGTCTGTCTGTCTGTCTGTCTGTCTGTCTGTCTGTCTGTCTGTCTGTCTGTCTGTCTGTCTGTCTGTCTGTCTGTCTGTCTGTCTGTCTGTCTGTCTGTCTGTCTGTCTGTCTGTCTGTCTGTCTGTCTGTCTGTCTGTCTGTCTGTCTGTCTGTCTGTCTGTCTGTCTGTCTGTCTGTCTGTCTGTCTGTCTGTCTGTCTGTCTGTCTGTCTGTCTGTCTGTCTGTCTGTCTGTCTGTCTGTCTGTCTGTCTGTCTGTCTGTCTGTCTGTCTGTCTGTCTGTCTGTCTGTCTGTCTGTCTGTCTCTGTCTGTCTGTCTGTCTGTCTGTCTGTCTGTCTGTCTGTCTGTCTGTCTGTCTGTCTGTCTGTCTGTCTGTCTGTCTGTCTGTCTGTCTGTCTGTCTGTCTGTCTGTCTGTCTGTCCTTTTAAAACTGATTACAGTAAAGAATGTCGCCCACTACCTAAAATAACGCTATTCTTTAACACTAAAACCAGTTTAAAATTTTGAAAAATGTGTTTCCTTTATAAAGTTATTAATTGAGCTTAGTCGAAATCAGAAAGGTCTGAACCAACCTCTCCCCCTTATGAATGTAACCCATAAATGTGGGTTATTAGTATAACCCAGAACAAACTCTAGTACACTGAAGCAAAGTTTTTCGTTACAGGAGAACTAACATCATCTGAAAACATTCTACAGACAACAGAACAAACTCTAGTACACTGAAGCAAAGTTTTTCGTTACAGGAGAACTAACATCATCTGAAAACATTCTACAGACAACAGAACAAACTCTAGTACACTGAAGCATAGTTTTTCGTTACAGGAGAACTAACATCATCTGAAAACATTCTACAGACAACAGAACAAACTCTAGTACACTGAAGCATAGTTTTTCGTTAAAGGAGAACTAACATCATCTGAAAACATTCTACAGACAACAGAACAAACTCTAGTACACTGAAGCATAGTTTTTCGTTACAGGAGAACTAACATCATCTGAAAACATTCTACAGACAACAGAACAAACTCTAGTACACTGAAACAAAGTTTTTCGTTACAGGAGAACTAACATCATCTGAAAACATACTTTGGTTTCTTAGTGTTGTATTTTGTTTTGTTTTGTTAAATTATTTTGTCATGTTCCATGTCAGTTGAGCTGTTTAATTAAGCCGAATAGCGCATGGCAGCATTGCGTCTTCATTCTGGTACATTCAACACTTACTACATTCTGGTACAACATTCAACATCACACAGCATTACATCTTCATTCTGGTACAACATTCAATATCACACAACAACATTGCGTCTTCATTCTGGTACAAAAGTCAACATCACACAATATTACGTCTTCATTCTTGTATCACGTTTCAAATACAATAGAAAAATAGACAGCACTCTATTGTCCATAATATATTTTTTATTTCCTTTAGAGACTAGAAATAAGGTAACAATGTTTGAACCCCCAAATAATCGTGACCAAATGTATTCACTATCTGCTAAACATCCCACATCCTTAAAGATTACAACAGCAACTAGTGAAATTTATTTTAACGTTAAAAAAGTCCAAACTACATTCTACATCACAGTTCGGGACCACTTCGAGTTTCTTCAGGTGAGACGTCATTTATGGAGACACCCCCCCCCCTCTCTGATGCTCATCCTAGCCGCAGTTTGCATAGTCGGACATGTAGGCGCCTTCACTACAACTGAATGCATGCATTTTGAAATGAGCTCGTTTGTCGTAAGATTCCGTTCACCCTAGATTTAAAAATAGATGTGGGAATGTAAACAAATAGTATTGATTAGTATCAACATTAACTTTGTTGCTTTATATATATATATATATATATATATATATATATATATATATATATATATATATATATATATCTATATATCTATATATATATATATATATATATATATATATATATATATATATATATATACATACATACATACATAAACTGTATATAAGATAAGTGTTTTTATAAGTTTTATTTGCTGTAAGTAAAATACACATTAATCTTTAAAATACCATCATTTGTGCAAATGATGATTTAAACTTCCAACTCCACTCCCCCCCCCCCCCCCGCGGATTTTCCCCGACCCCGCAGCACACGACCGACTGATGTTACCTCAGTTGAGCGTAGGACTTGCCGTCAATGTTACTGACCTTTAGACGACAGAAGTTCTGTGAAATAAATGTGGATTTTACAAATTTACAGACGACAGAAGTTCTGTGAAATAAATGTGGATTTTACAAATTTACAGACGGCAGAAGTTCTGTGAAATAAATGTGGATTTTACAAATTTACAGACGACAGAAGTTCTGTGAAATAAATGTGGATTTTACAAATTTACAGACGACAGAAGTTCTGTGAAATAAATGTGGATTTTACAAATTTACAGACGACAGAAGTTCTGTGAAATAAATGTGGATTTTTCAAATTTACAGACGACAGAAGTTCTGTGAAATAAATGTGGATTTTACAAATTTACAGACGACAATCTGTTAAATGAAAGTGGAATTTACTAATCCACAAACACCGGTACTTACATGCACATTGAAACAAGTGTGGGACCTTCTTAATGTAAAATTTGATTGTCAATAATTAATCTAAAATAACTACACGATGAAAACGGGACCATTAAATGTGTATTTATATAAAATTACAGGGGGAGAATGTAGGCTGTATACAGACCTATTAAATTTGATTTCAACGTTATGCGAAAAAAATGAAAGCGTACTTTTATTTTTTTTAGTTTTATATTTCAATAATTATATCGTGTTTTTTTATATGTGAAATTGAACAATGAAATGATAACATTTAATTTAGCATCTGTGTGTTAATAATTTAGCATTAAAAGATTTATTTGATTTCAAATGTGTGACAGCTTTATGAGTTACCTGAGCGAATAATAAATAAAAGATTTGCTCAATAGTCAGATTTTTAATCATGATTTTGCCGTCGTCCATTTCTTTTAGCAACTGCAAATACGCCCTGTAGAAAATGTAAAGAAAAAGTTTCAAATTTGAAAGTATAACTCGGCATGAGCAAACATGATGGTATACCCCTATTAATATGATTGAAATCAACTTTACACCATTGATCATGGTGATATTACCAGTATGTGTCACCATAAAGTTGACATCACCAGCATATGTCATGTGTCATCATAAAGTTGACATCACCAGCATGTGTCATGTGTCATCATAAAAATGCTACCTTCCATGTAATATGTCAAGTAATGCTTGGTAGAGACTTACCAAAATGTTACTTGAAGTGATGAGCTTCCATGCAAAATTCTTTCTACCTCAACTATATTGCTACCCTTTGATAGAGAATAAATGCCGTTATATATATATATATATATATATATATATATATATATATATATATATATATAAATATATATATATATATATATATATATATATATATATATATATATATATATATATATATATATATATATATATAAATAATTTTCTTCTGGGAGACGCTAGAAAACAAGCTGTAAGCGCGCCTAGCAGTCCCCTCCCTTCCTCTATAGGCATATTTCTATAAACGCCCCCCCCCCCCCATACCCACATGGTCTGGTGAGCTGTGGTTCACGCAAAATGTTTACAAGCGTAGAGATGGGTTTAGTGACGCTATTAGGGGCAGATAATTTAGTTTGAAACTATTTTAAACTTAGGGGAGGTAACTAAGAGGAGGCTGCTTTCACGAGGAGGGAGGGGGGGGGGGGGGTGGAGGAAAGGAGGGTTTTAGTGTTTTAAAGCAAATATATTTTCAGTGGCAGAATTAGTACTGTCGAATTCACAAATTATGAATTGCTGAAAAGTAGAAAAACAACTAAATGGCGGCGTATGAAACGCCGCGGGTCGGCTAGTGTACATATATATGTCTATGTGTGTGTGTGTGACAGGATTCTATATAACAACCAAAACAACAACGATTCTAATTACTGAAATGCGCCAATCAGCATCAGGACTCAGCATCCTGGTAAAAACATAACTGTAGCAGACTTTCTGCATCTCAAACTTCCTTACGTCCTCTGGGTGAACCCACGCGACGGCTCGGCCCTGGCTGTCATAGCTCCGTCCTGTGGATCAGGTGAGACAGGGTTTAGGGAAGAGATCAATTCATCGGTCTTACCTTGACCTTGATAACACCAAAAAACTCTCTCACACTTTAACTCATCGGCTACGCCTTAATTTCTCTCCAATAAAAAGGTCGAAAAAAAAGTCTGTCCGCCCCTCGTACTTTCGACATCCAACCACTTATTTACCCATCCACTCATGTTTACATCCACTCCCCCATTCACCCACATACCCTGACGCCCACTAACGCCCCCATTCTTATACCTAACTGTCCTTCAACTGTCCACCCACTATCTACATACTGTCCACCCACTATCTACATACTGTCCACCCACTGTCCGGCAATCCACCTTGCTATTATCCAACCATCCACCGTCCACCCACCCATTGTCCACCCATCCACCTTGCTATTATCCAACTATCCACTGTCCACCCACCCATTGTCCACCCATCCACCTTGCTATTATCAACCCATCCACCGTCCACCCACCCACTGTCCACCCATCCACCTTGCTATTATCAACCCATCCACTGTCCACCCACCCACTGTCCACCCATCCACTATCCACCCACACCTTGTCCACCCCTTCCATCAACCCATCCACTGTCCACAAACCCACCCACTGTCCACCCATCCACCTTGCTATTATCAACCCATCCACTGTCCACCCACCCACTGTCCACCCATCCACTATCCACCCACACCTTGTCCACCCCTTCCATCAACCCATCCACTGTCCACAAACCCACCCACTGTCCACCCATCCACCTTGCTATTATCCAACCATCCACCGTCCACCCACCCATTGTCCACCCATCCACCTTGCTATTATCAACCCATCCACTGTCCACCCACCCACTGTCCACCCATCCACTATCCACCCACACCTTGTCCACCCCTTCCATCAACCCATCCACTGTCCACTAACCCACCCACTGTCCACCCATCCACCTTGCTATAATCAACCCACCCACCGTCCACCCACCCACACCTTGTCCACCCCTTCCATCAACCCATCCACCGTCCACCCACCAATACCTTGTCCACCCCTTCCATCAACCCATCCACCGTCCACCCACCAATACCTTGTCCACCCCTTCCATCAACCCCTCACCTCACCTACCTTCAGCATCAAACATGGAGACTATGGCAGTGGCTATCAACGACCCAATCTTGGCATAGTTGACAATACTTAAAACACATTCAACAGAATTAAACAATTATATACAATCATTATTACATGTATTATTAAGTGTTATGACAATAGCTCACTTGTATTTTTAAACTATTTTTAAAGAATGAATTGAACAGTTTATAAGACAGCTAAAACGTAAAACTGACAAAAAATGTATGAGAAGAGGTGAACACTATGTTGGAATTGCTGGCTCAGCTAAATATTAAAGAGAGATGCCGTGTTGAACGGTGAGGAGGAAGCTCTTTTATCCTCAGATTATACAAATCATGAATATAACCACCCATAAAACCACCCACAAACCACCCACAAAACCACCCACAAACCATCCACAAAACCACCCACAAAACCACCCACATAACCACCCACAAAACCACCCACAAAGCCACCCACAAAACCACCCACAACCATGTTGTATGTAACTGACGACAAACACGCTATTTATGACGTACACCGCTTCACATGTTCTCTCTACAAAAGTGTAGCACGAATTTCTGCCAGTGCTACACCTACATTGTGAGATTTTGGTGTCTAAGCAACAATTTTCTGTTTTCATTTTTGTTTAGACGGCCACACATACTCACACGTCCATACTTACATATAAACAGTTGAGTATTTTTAAATTAGATGGTGTGTGTATTGATCTTTTATTGTTAATATAATTTGTGTGTTACTCACTTGGGTACTTTTTCTTCGTAGAATGGTGTTGATATCAGTCCAGGGGAAACATCTAGGTGGGAAATGTAAACGTTCAATTAGGGTTGAAACATTGACACGACACATGAAACATTGACACGACACAGTGTTAGGATTGAAACATTGACACGACACATGAAACATTGACACGACACAATGTTAGGATTGAAACATTGACACGACACAGTGTTAGGATTGAAACATTTACATTTTGTCAGTGCGGACGATAGAACTCATAACAAGGATTTGCCCACATGAAACTAGGTACCTCAAAAATGTTAAGAACCACTGCTCTAGATAACAATTATCTGTATTATGTAAGAAAATGTACATTACCTGAAATTCTAATAAGAAATTAATTATATGAGAAATCTTTAGGTACATTCAAGTGTTTTTACTTACAAATCACGTTTCTCTTCGAATCAAAGACGGCTTCCGCTTTCATTGGATTCTTCCCGTCCCTGTGAGAAAGTAAGTTAATTATTTGTTAATAAAAGTTTTAAGACACCACCTATGGCTAGTTTTTTTTTTTTAAACCCAGCCTTAAAGCTTTAATGCTTCAATAAATGGTGAACACTCACAGTATGAGAGGGGTGTTTTAAATTAGAAGAAAGACTGTGCGAAGGTGAGGAGGGGAGGAGAGGCTAATATTTAGATTTACATTCTAGAAGGCTGAACACGATATTTTTATATGGCGCTCATTAGCGTTAAATTCGCTATTCGGCGATATAAACAGACGATGGTTGGAGTATGGTGGTAAGGTTAATGGTAAATGTTGAAGTATTAATGGTGTGGGGTAGAATAAGTGATTGTGTATGGTGCTTTCTACGAATTGTGTATAGTGTTTTACACTATGATGCATAGTGCCGAGTCGAATGGTGTATAGTGCCGATCATGTGGGTGTATAGTGCAGACATTGAGGGTGTACACAGACTGCCGACACTGAGGGTGTATGTTACCGACACTGAGGGTGTATGTTACCGACACTGAGGGTGTATATTACCGACACTATGGGTGTATGTTACCAACACTGAGTGTGTATGTTACCGACATTGAGGGTGTATGTTACCGACACTATGGGTGTACGTACCGACACTATGGGTGTATGTTACCGACACTATGGGTGTATGTTACCGACACTGAGTGTGTATTTTACCGACACTGATTGTGTATGTTACCGACACTGATTGTGTATGTTACCGACACTGAGGGTGTATGTTACCGACACTGAGGGTGTATGTTACCGACACTGAGGGTGTATGTTACCGACACTGGGGGTGTTACAGACACTGAGGGTGTATGTTACCGACACTGAGGGTGTATGTTACCGACACTGAGTATGTTACCGACACTGATTGTGTATGTTACCGACACTGACGTAGCCTAGACATTGCCTTAGCTGACCAAACCTACATCGGAGACTCGTGCGGCTTCTGCATGAGCCGCTTCCTGAGCCTGTTGTCGAGGGCCTGCCTCAAGTTCCTCTTGTTCCTCAAGTACTCGCCTGGCACAACGTCCACCTGTAAATAGCCCAACTGTTAGAGCACTTTGTCGCTGAGAGGTGTCACTTGAATACGTTACAATAAGCTCTCAAAAGATTTCATTGTTGGAGGTTATAATTGTTGAAACATGTTCTAGGTAAATACAAATGAATGTTTGTCTGTTTTTTTTATCTGTCTGTCTTTTACACATTATTGCACCATTAGTCCAATCACCATAAAACTTCTAGAGTTGTTGAGTACACCCCAGAGAAAGTTTCTGTTATTTAAACATTTATCGAAGGGTCGACGCCCTGACGGCTGTGTGTGGTTGACACCCCGGGTTCTCCAGCTACCATCTCAGCGTATGTCCTTAAGTTTGAAGTTCGTGTAAAGGGTGGACGTAATGTCTAAATGAATGGTCAAATTGCCACAAGGGCGCCCTGCAAATTTATAACCAGAAGCGCCCTGGGCTCCACTATGGTGCTTACACCAGGCATACGGTGGGCTGCTACATTCAATGACTAAACTGAGCACCCGGCGCCGCTCGTGTAGTGTAGCTAATATTGTTATTGCTGCTATAAATGTTGTTTAGTTATGTTTCACACAATAACATCAAAGTGCGTAGCTGTGAATGTATGTATACAAGTGTACTTACGTTTTTGTATAACGAATTGACCGCAGCTGTTGTCATTGGGGGCTCATCCCCGCCAATAACCAGTTTGATCGCCTGTATCTAAACAAAAAGTTCGATCAATCAAGATGGATTTATCTGCCCGCAGTGATTCTAAAGCACACTGTTGATTTATTATACGTCTTTTATAGAACTGTATCTTTTTTAAAAATGTCAACCTAATTTATATCCAGAATCCATGTTAGATCAACAATTAGACGTTGTTATTGATTATATATATATATATATATATATATATATATATATATATATATATATATATATATATATATATATATATATATATATATATATATATATATATATATATATATATCTTGACATTTGCTAATATTGTGAATTCTATCCTTTTAGTTGACCACAACCGGTATGTTATAATTGTTTACCTTCCTATGTAGCGCCGTCTTTGTCTGGTTATGTAAGTTTTTCTCTCCGATAAAAGTAACAAAGTTATCCAGCAAGACTTTAGCCATCTGCTTGAGCTGGTAGTGGAAAGCATGTCAAGTTAGTCCATGCTTTAGACTGTCATCTAACAACTAATTAACAAGTATGGGCAAGTTGGTTCTATTTGTCTAGGAGAGCAACTTTAGCCTTAGGTCAGGGTTCACTTTGGTGAACTAAGCCATTGTCTAAATAACCTTTGACCTAGCAGTGCTAAAGCTCACCTTTGGCCTAGGGTCAGGGTTCAGCTTGGTGACCTCAACCATTGTCTAAATAACCTTTGACCTAGCAGTACTACAACTCACCTTTGGCCTTGGGTCAGGGTTCAGCTTGGTGACCTCAACCATTGTCTAAATAACCTTTGACCTAGCAGTGCTACAACTCACCTTTGGCCTAGGGTCAGGGTTCAGCTTGGTGACCTCAACCATTGTCTAAATAACCTTTGACCTAGCAGTGCTAGAGCTCACCTTTGGCCTAGGGTCAGGGTTCAGGTTGGTGACATCAACCATTGTCTAAATAACCTTTGACCTAGCAGTGCTACAACTTACCTTTGGCCTAGGGTCAGGCTTCAGGTTGGTGACATCAACCATTGTCTAAATAACCTTTGACCTAGCAGTGCTACAACTTACCTTTGGCCTAGGGTCAGGGTTCAGCTTGGTGACCTCAACCATTGTCTAAATAACCTTTGACCTAGCAGTGCTACAACTTACCTTTGGCCTAGGGTCAGGGTTCAGCTTGGTGACCTCAACCATTGTCTAAACAACCTTTGACCTAGCAGTGCTACAACTTACCTTTGGCCTAGGGTCAGGGTTCAGCTTGGTGACCTCAACCATTGTCTAAATAACCTTTGACCTAGCAGTGCTACAACTTACCTTTGGCCTAGGGTCAGGGTTCAGCTTGGTGACCTCAACCATTGTCTAAACAACCTTTGACCTAGCAGTGCTACAACTTACCTTTGGCCTAGGGTCAGGGTTCAGCTTGGTGACCTCAACCATTGTCTAAACAACCTTTGACCTAGCAGTGCTACAACTTACCTTTGGCCTAGGGTCAGGGTTCAGCTTGGTGACCTCAACCATTGTCTAAACAACCTTTGACCTAGCAGTGCTACAACTTACCTTTGGCCTAGGGTCAGGGTTCAGCTTGGTGACCTCAACCATTGTCTAAACAACCTTTGACCTAGCAGTGCTACAACTTACCTTTGGCCTAGGGTCAGGGTTCAGCTTGGTGACCTCAACCATTGTCTAAACAACCTTTGACCTAGCAGTGCTACAACTCACCAT